GGAGCTAACGGGAGAATAAACTCCCGTGGAAGAGCAGCACTGCAGCAGCCGGTAAATGCAGCTGAAACACATTAATAAACAATGAACCACGGCACTCTGGAGAAAAGTATAAGGTTGGAGAAGTCGTTATTTTATTTAATCTGGCTTTGTATGATTAAAAGCAACACGATCATCGACCCGACGCAATCCCCCATTGTTGTTGTTAGTGAGCGCCGTAACGAGAAAATCAGCGACGTAAAACGGGCTCTGGGCGGTGTGAACAAACCGGGGGCTGAAAAGAAAAACCGGTTCCGAACCAGAAAAGCTCTAGCACGGGGCTAAAACGGGAATCGCGTTGGTGGGAAAGCCCTATCAGTCAGCTTCACAAGGTCGTCACCTGGAATGGTTTTCAATTAACACGTGTGCCTTGTCAAGAGTCAGTTTGTGGAATTACTTGCCTTCTGAATGGGTTTGAGACCATCAGTTGTGTTGTGCAGAGGTAGGGTTAGTGCACAGTGGAAAGCCCTATTTGACTACTGTTGTAATCCATATTATGGCAAGAACCAGTCAACTCAGTAAAGAAAAACGACCGTCCATCATCACTTTAAGAAATGAAGGCCAGTCGATCCGGAAAATGTCAAGAACTTTGAATTTATCCTCAACTGCAGTCGCAAAAACCATCAAACGCTTATTAATAAAGTATATCAAAATAAAAATAAATTAAAAAAACAAAACGCTATGATGAAACTGGCTCTCATGAGGACCCCTCGGGAAAGGAAGAGCAAGAGTTACCTCTGCTGCAGAGGATAAATACACAAGAGTTACCAGCCTCAGAAACCACACATTAAAGCACCTCAGATTAGAGCCCACATAAATGATCACAGAGCTCAAGTAGCAGACAATCTCAACATCCACTGTTCAGAGGAGACTGCGAGAATCAGGCCTTCATCGTCCAATCGCTGCAAAGATCCACTACTGAGGATGAACAACAAGAAGAAGAGAATAGTTTGGGCCAAGAAACACAAGGATTGGACATTAGACAGTGGAAATCTGTACTTAATTGTTAAATTTGAGATTTTGGTTCCAACCTCCGTGTCTTTGTGAGACACAGAGAAGGTGAGCGGATGGTTTCTGCATGTGTGGTTCCACCGTGAAGCATGGAGGAGGAAGTGTGATAGTGTGGGGGGGCTTTCCTGGTGTCACTCGGCGCTTTCACACCGGAGTACTTTTCCCCCCGAACTAGGCCGATTTGGTTTCACACCAAAAAGGATCTGGAACTAGTCCCTAGTTCGCGCTAACCTTTTCACCCCCAGATAGTCCGTGCTAGAGAGGTAGTACTTTCCTGAGGAGGAAATGGTTCGGGGGTGTGTCGGCCACACTAACAATTTCTGATTGGCTGGTCGAATTGAAAACCACGCCCCGTAAAACTCCGAAAGGTTTTGTGAAGCCGCCATTGTATTTGCTCGCATTAGAGGTGTCGGCGCTTCTGGAGATTTACTCGGAAGATGCGACCCAGCAGCTTCTACTGAAGCCAGTCCCCAACTCCAAAGTTTACGAGCGTTGTTCGGTAAAGACACGCGCACAGCTCTTATGAGGTATCTGAACAGCGTGTAAATTGACAATTAAGCTGATATTTTGTACAGTGCTTTTGGTTCTCTCTTTTATTTAGCAGAGTCCAGACAGGCAAAATTACAATAGTGCAATAATAACAATAACGGCATCACACTGTCCCAGGTGTGTCGTATGCATAGTAAATAGGCTCAGCAGCAGACACACCTTAGTGCAAAGATAAATATCAGATAAACCACTACAAAGTAAGCCTGCCAGTAAACCCAAAGCAGAAGAAGAAGAAGTGACATCAGCGGCTTAATTTGCTTAATCCTCCCTCAGGGACTTAGGCCCCGTCCATACGGAGACGATATCAGTTGAATCCGCTAACGTTCTCTATCGTATAGACGGTTCGTCCACACGAGGCTGAAACGGAGCCGCGGATTCGGAGCCCAAAGTGGGTGGGTCTGAGGACGAAACACTTGCGGCTCTGTGTGTACGCCAGTGTGAGAAAAAGTTTTTAGAGAGTACTTGTCCATGGACAAGTGAGTTTGGCAATTTACTTGTCCGAATACATTTTTCACTTGTCCAGAATGGACAAAAATTGGGGCCACTGGAATCTTCTTCTTCGTCATCGTATTTTACATTTTCCCACGGTTTTTATGACACCGCTAACGTAAGTGAGCCGTAAGATTTTACTGCATCACACATAGGGTTGGGTATCGTTTGGATTTGAACGATTCCGGTTCTGCTTTTCGATTCCGGTTATTTTTGGTTCTCGATTCCGGTTCTTTGAGAGGGTCAAAATAAGTCCCATGACAAACTGGGAGAAAAATATATTTATGAAAACATTAAGTCAAATCTGTATTCATATTTACAAATCACTTCATACTGTTGAATTTCTTACGGTTATTGAATACAATTATATAAAAATAATCTCTGCATTGTTTAGTTAGTTCTAAGTGGTGCAGTTTGAGAATGTACAATTGGCCCAGTCTCCTCTGATGTTACACTGCAACCTGCCTGTGAGACAAAGTCCAACCACACATGTCCAACACATAGGACATAACCTAATAATAATAATAATGACACATTAGATGTATAGCCTATAGGCCTAGCACTTTTCTACAACTCAAAGACGCTTGCACGCTTACACATGTCCTGCAATACACATGCTGCAGCTGCCCAGCTGCTCAATGTTTGTAAAAGTAAATAAATAGTATTTTCATTTCAATAATGTACTTTCTATACCCTGCTTCATAAACAATACTGACATCCCTGTGCTCCTCCGAGTCTGGGGGTCCGGGGATGTGAGGACAGCGTGAGGACACAGACAGGGAGGCTGCTTTACTTCATAAAGGAAATGGTGGTCAATATTAACAACATAGGAGTTAAAATGCTTAATAACCTTCATTACGTGTTAGAGAAAGAACATAAGAAAGTTTGATAAAGATGAGGCTGTTAAACGGGCAGCGTATCCGCTGTATGTAGAAAGAGAGAGAGAGAGAGACGCTGAGCTGCACCATGCAGCGATCAGCTGATACGGAGCATAGATAGAGCTGCAGTCCGCGGGCCTCGCCTCCTGTCCTCACAACTCTTATTAATCCCGGTACCGGACAATTGTTATTTGTTCCTACTCGGAAACGAGTTTTGCTTCCCAACCCTGCCACTATGCTACACTTCCAACCCCGCTCCGCTCCACCCGGTCTAACTGTACAGAAAACGGCGAGATGCATTTCCTTAGGAATCGACAAGCAGAACCGAAACTAACACTTCTAAACGAACAATGGTCGGACACGTACAATTTGCGAATGAGTTCTGCCTTTTGTAAACTGAATGTATCAATAATTTGTCAATAAATCAGGTCGAAAAACGTCACTTGTCCGCCGGACAAGTCAATTGAAAGATCTACTTGTCCGATATTGTAAATAACACGTCCCGGACAATGGGATTTGTACTTTTTGGCACACTGTACGCCCTATACGATAATTTCCTGAATAGGATGACGCCATAGCCCTGCCTCTCCCCACATCTCCTGCTCACCCCCGCGTCACCGCTGATGCGTTTTGCCAACAACTACAACAATGGCGGATCACAGGGTTGCGTTCGTGCTCCAGACGCTACTGACAATGATACAGATTTTAATGCAAAATCTACGGCTCCTCTACAACAACCATCATCAACAATAATAATATAATAATAATAATAATAATAATAATAATAATAATAATCGTCATCGGTCTTATTCGCTGCTTTTGGTGTATTTTGTGGTGGAAGTACAGTGCCACTTACAGGCCCGGCATATGTACTACAGCGTCTCCAGCGTTTTCGTGTGGACGGACAAGTTTCTTGAGCCAATTCCGTGTGGACGGAAGACTTTTTTGAAAACGACTTCGGTTCGTTTTCGTCTCCGTGTGCTTGGGGCCTTATTCCGGTGAGAACGCGATCTACTAGGACAGTTCGAGGGACTATAGAGTTCGGGGGGAACAAGTACCGGCAAGTACCGGCTAACTACTTGATTTATTCAGAATTCAAGGCACACTTAACCAGCATGGCTACAACAGCATTCTGCAGTAGCCAGCTAAATATGAATCATATTCTGGATTTTTTAACACTTTTTTGTTTACTAGATAATTCCATGTATTTTATAGTTTTGATGTCTTCAGTTTAAATCTACAATGTAGAAAAAATTAAGCTGGGTATATGGAAATAGTAGAACTTGTGATGTAACAACTCTGTTTATGGCCAATCCACTACTGAGCTTCACTACTGTTGCCAGATTATTTAAACTATTAGGAGGTACAAACTTAATATGGCTCCACCAAATAGTTGGTAATAACCCAGTTTGTGCATCAACTGCACTATGCATGATGGTGTTTGCTAGCCACCAGTTTGATCTTGTTGATGATCTCTTACAGAATGCTTCATTTTTAAGGAGGCCCTATTATTCTGTTTGGGGATTCCCTCTCCTGTAGTGTGTTCTATAGGTTTTTGTGCATGTAAATTGTCTGCAAAGGCTAAAATCCCTGTGTTCTTCTCCAGAGTGAATTTCTGACCCACACACTCCCCCGCCTGCCAGAAACGACTCCATTGGATTCCTTTAATACTTCTGTAACATAATGACATCACTATGTAACACTTGCGCTTCTATTGGCTTGCACTCTGACACATTATTCGTGATAGACTAAGGGGTGGGACATCTCAAATCGGTTAACCAACCACAACAGCTGGCCAGCTAACCAACGACTGGGCTCTGGTTTCAGACAGAGGGTGAAAAGAGTTGCTTCAGCACAGGCAGTATGAGAAAAATAAAGAGCTTTTTGAACATTAAAGTGTGAAGACATGTCACAGTAGAGACATAAAAATACAAATATGGACCTGGAAATGTGCATAATAGGGACCCTTTAAGGCCAACACCTTTGTACCACTGTACATTAAAGGAAGTACAGCACAGTGTCCTGCAGTAAACGTACCTCCAGTGGCTGGGCGTGGTAGTGCTCAGTGGGATCCCTCAGTTCAGCCGCCTCTTTCATTAGCCTCTTCACCGCTGGTGATTCAATGACACAAGAAAAAAGAGGTTAAAGCCTTCATGGTAGAATAGGGCTCACATCTTCTTCATGTTAATTAATCACCCTAATGACTACAATAATAGGGCCATATGATTTGGGTGATGCACAAACATGGACAAAGTTGCAGAATTAGTTTAAAGAATATGTAATCAACTGTAAAACTCATATTGTGCTGATAGCCAAATTCTCAATGTATTTGTCCTAAACATTTTGAGTTTTCCCCATCATTATGATGACAAAATGTGATGCCAAACAGTGGTTCAATTGTTAAACATATCATTTAGAAAAGTTAATGTCCAAAACATAGAATTTAGAAAAAAAAAAATGAAATTTGGTAAAACAATAAGGGATTTGTTGTCCCAGGCTACATATATCAAAATATCACCAACTGATGGCATAGGCAGTTAGCGGGCCAACATTTTTTTTTTTCAGATGCAGAGGGCTGCAAATGTGCTGCTCCGCTGGGTTACAGGACTTTAACACGGATGGACAGATGAGAAGAGCCTGCAGAGGGACAGGGCTCCTTGTACTGGCATGTCTCTGCTAAACATCACACTGACTGTCACACTCATTCAGACAGCTGGAGTAAAAGGCTCCTTCAAATATGCAATCAAAAAGAATCTTAGTTTACCCCCCCTAAAAACTTCCATTAAACACTTTGTTTAGTGCTGGCTTACTGCATGATTAAATCATACCCGTTTTGTTAAATCGAGTATAATGTTTTTTGATCATTGTATAACATCACCACCATTTTGGAAGATATTGACAAAAATCTGAGCAGGACACACTGTAGTCAAACATTTCTTCATAGTTGCTTTGTGAAGATGAGCAGATGACAGCAGGAGGCCTGATTCTGCTGCATGTCAAATAAATACAAAATAAACATGCCTTCAACCATGGTTGAACTTGCAACTCATGGCAGGGAGGGAGTAAACAAGTTTGTTTGAGGGGTCAATCTCTACCCATGGCAGCATGTTGTTAGTTTATGTGCAGACGCAACATACCGAGTCAAATGAGGTGGCGGAGAAACATCTGCTGGCATTAACCCTTGTGTCATGACCAAGCCAACAACACACTCAGGCCTGCTGTGTTAATCTGAATACAGACAACCTCATCACTCTGGGAAGGGTGCTTACACAAGTCCAGCTGATCATGGTGGAGAGGACACTTGTGAGGGGAGGGGGGTTTAATCACTGTCCTGGCACTAAAGGACACTATGATGCTCCTTGATGCAATGCTGACCATCAGGCTGCATGACAGTCCATACAGAGCAGAGCCTTCGGTTAAATATCCCATAATGCTTTAACACAAGGTCATGAGTCACAACTACAGGGCTGATGTCACAGTCTCAGACTCAAGTTAACAAAGTGCTTATCGCAAGTTAAGGAGTTGTTGAGCTAACTGCGTTCCTCCTTATGGACTGCTAGAGCTCGAGCTATCAGCTAGGAGCCTGCTGCAAGAAGGAACAGGATGGGGCAGAACATTTTAAACTAATTGTCAAAAGGAAGTGGAACTAAGAAGTATTCACAAAGGCAAAATTGGTTTGGAATCCAATCGAGAGCGGACTAATATGTTGTCGAGCTTGAAATGGAGACTGTGAAATGAACACTGGAGAAGAAGATGAAGGGCTGCAGTAGTATTGGGTGGGAGGGCTAATAAAAAGGGATGAAGGCGAGACGAGAGGATGTGCAGCTGCAGGGGGAGTGGAGCAGTGGGGCACAGAGATGGCCTGACACCATGCGGCTTTCAGGGCACGTGTTCTCTCTGATCCTGCCCCAGGACAGACACTCTTTAGAGAAGATGGGAAACATCCACAGTAATCTAACATCCGAGCCACAAGGAGCATGGGGGAATAGAGAGAGTGTGTGCGTGTGCGTGTGTGTGTGTGTGTGTGTGTGTGTGTGTGTGTGTGTGTGTGTGTGTGTTTACAAGGCTTCCCTGCCTTCTCCTATTTACAGCTGAATGCAGGGGGTCATTGAGTGCTTGCAGTCTTACTCAAGTTTACAACAATCAACACCAGAAGGCAGGTGAGCAAGTTATCCTGTGTAAGAAGAAATTGATCATAATACACCAAATGTTTTGGTTGATTTCAATTGCAAAAACCTGTATCCCAAGGTAAAAATGATTTCCATGTATTTCCATTTTTAAAAAAGGTGCACATTTTTTTCATTTCAATTTATCTTAAATGCAAAAAGTTGTTGGGGGGGGGTTAGAGAATACTTGCATGTGCATTTATTGTTGTGTGCAAATGCATCATACATAATTCACATTCCTCAACGGCAATCTGTAGAGTTTTCTAAAAATGTTAACCTTAAACAGAAACCCAAAAATATGAAAAAGCTGTTTTCCCATGTGGACCCGTACAAAGAGCCAAGAAATGAAATAACAGAATAAGATTAACTGTGCAGTGAACAGCTGAACATGCTGCTGCAGCAATCCACAGTGTGAGGTCCATCCATCAAACGAGGCAACATCATCAGAGTATCAGAGTTTTGATAATGTGCAATGCTTAGACTGTTCTATTTCGTATATGGCTTTGCCCTCTAAGGCTATCGCTATTGGGTAATCCCCCTGCGCAGCACTGAAACGCTTGTAGTCCATGCCCACCCGCAAGGTGGGCCCCACCCTCGGGCTTCCTTCCGGTATAAATAGGAAGGAGGCCCGACAATCTGCTCCCTCTTTTCTTCAGCAGTTACTGAAGCACAGCAATTGAGAATCATCATGAACAACAACTGCGTCCGCGATTGTCCCTCGTGTGGCTCTGGGTTCATAATGAGTTATGACCAGCAGAGATAAAAGCAGTATGCGAATCCTGCCTGGGGTCAGAGCATGCGTACGCGGCTCTAAACCAGCAGGTAGCATGCATGCACACACTGCGCCCGTCTCCCCTCGGGCGACAGGAAGCGGAGAGCGGACGCTCTTGCTGCTGTGGCCGAGGAGGACGATTGGCCCGTCCAGGCTTACGCGCCGCGGACGGGGCCGAGTGTCCCTGGGGCCGAGTGTCCCTGGGGCCGAGTGTCCCTGGGGCCGAGTGTCCCTGGGGCCGAGTGCCGTGCAGGAGTCCGAAGAAAAGCAACTCCCTCCACGGTTCACCGTGCGGTTCTCCCCTCCCTCCTCTCCTCCGGACGGGGGAGACAGAGTCGGAGCAGGGTGCCAGGCCAGCTTGGCGGCCGAACATGCTTTCCCCCTCTCCGTCACCACAGCGCGGCGGCGAATAACATCGCGCTGCTCTCCAATTCGGTGGTGACACTGGTAGAGCGGTCCACCACCGAGGCAGAGGAAATCAGCAAGGCGGCCAGCACGGCGCTCATTCTGTGCGCGTCCGTTGCTGTCTCCCAGGCGAGGATTTCCGCTTGGGTGCCACAGATCCAGTGCCACCTTTGGCTGAAGCAGGCGTCTGTTACGGAGACGGCCAGAAAAGTGCTACTGGACGCTCCAATCAGCCCGGACGGGCTGTTCGGACCCCAGTTCCACGCCATGGTGGAGTCCATGAAGACGGCCGCGGAACAGGCGGACGGCATTCGCCAGCATGTACAGCTGGCTCCAGCCTGCTGAGCGCCCACAGCGGCACCAACGTCCGCAGCAGCCGCGGCATACACGCCGGCCGCAGGAGGCCGCAAGCGGAGAGACACACACCGCAACCGCCTCGGCGTCAGACTCGCCCTTCGGCGGCTGCAGGGGCTCCGTCCCACGTCTCCGCCACCCCAGAGACAGGGTCTCCCGGCGGCGAGTCAAAGGGGAGTGAGGATCCCCTGCTCCTGGTCTGCTCCGCGAGAGCCTCCGAGGAAGCAGAGCCGGTAATTAAGCCGGCTGCCACTAATCTGTTGATTAGTAGACATCAGGGCTCGCTGCAGAAGCCTGGTTTTAACCTGTTGGTTAATAAACTACAGAGCTCGCGGCATTCCTCTGTCCGAGATACGCCTCGTACAAACGGCCTTAATAAACCCATGAGCGCCGTTATAACGCCTCGTGTGGACAGCACTGCACACACCTCCATCCATCCCCTGAGCGTGTACGCGCCTCATGATGAGTCGGAGTGCGACGCAGCGTGTGGAGGCCCCCGCGCAGCCCTTTCGGTCCAAGCACACCTTGGGTTGCCTCACGGGCAGCGGCGGCAGGGGCTCTGGCGTGGCTCGTCACCATGACGACCAAAAAAACACATCTCGAGCACGTGCGCCCGCTCTCAGAGTTTTTCTCAGAGTGGCAGCGCGTGGGTCTGATTGACAGATGGATGAGCAGGCTGATCAGCAGAGGATACGTCCTGCAGTTCGCCTCTCTAGCAATGTATATTCCCGGCGAATTTAACAGAGAGGCTCGCAGAACGCAGCAGCCGTGTTATGCGAGGAGTACGGAGACTCAGACCTGTGTCACACACACTGGCGCCTCAGTGGGAATTGGCTTTGGTGTTACGTGCACTAAAGCAAAGCCCCATTTGAACCTGATCAGGTTCCCCTTAAACTGTTATCAGCCAAAGTAGTACTTTTGGCTCTAACAGCAGCGAGAAGGGTGAGTGATTTGTCTGCTCTCTCTGTGGCTCCGTCAGCTCTCCGGATCCAAGGAGATGGCAGTTCAGCTGTTTTACGCCCTAACCCGGCTTCATGCCTAAGGTCATCACAACTCTTTTAGGTCAAGAGTGATCACCCTGGCTGGCTTATTCCCCCCTCCTTACAGGTCGGAGGAAGAAGCCACGTCTCATCTCCTCTGTCCTGTGCGCGCGCTGTCTTGCTATGTGGCGCGCACGGCGGCCTGGAGCCGTTCTCAGAACCTGTTTGTGCACTATAGAGAGCGCTCGATCGGGTAACCTCTGTCTGCACAACGGCTGTCACACTGGCTGTGTGAGGCTGTGTCACAGGCATATGTCTCCTCTGGGGTGGAGCCCCCGGAGAACATCAATGTGCACTCCACCAGAGGAATTTCCTCCTCCACGGCTTTGCACAGAGGAATGTCAGTGGAAGATATTTGCACTGCTGCATCTTGG